GTATTGAGACAATTTGTGTCACAGTTTTCACCAGAATTGTTACAAATTTGATATTTGCAGTTCGTAATGGGTACTTCCTCCTACGAAAAAACACTTCCTGTACAGAACCATGCTTCCGTATAGCCCATATATAACTCTACCTCCCTAAACTCGGTATTTTGACGATTTTGGCCACACCTTTCAATAGAATTATTTCAAATTCGGAATTTGGAGACCACAGGGGATACTGAAGATTTTCCATAAAAATTCATGTCTTAATGGGGCTACGACTAATATTCGGAATTTTAATGGCTTTAGCCATTTTTTTGGAAAAAAAACTTTGTATTTGGAATTTGTAAATGGTCTCACCTTCAGCCTAATATAAATTGATATTCGGAGCTTTTAAAATTATAGCGCAATAATTCAATAGCATTTTTGTACATTTTTCAAGCTTCTTCGAAATGGTCGAGGGTATTAAAAGTTCGACCCAGCCGAACTTGATGATTTTAGCGACATTATTTACCGAAATTGTTTCAAAATTAATATTAAAAGTTCGTAATAGATATTACGGCTTAAGACAAAAAATGGGCCATGTAGGTTCACGTCTTCGTATAACCCCCATATAACGGTACCTCCCGATATTCGGTATTTTGATGATTTTAGCGACATTATTTATCGGAATTGTTTCAATTTTGGTATTTGAAGTACGTAATGGATACTACATCCTAAGACAAAAAATGGGCAATGTAGGTTCATGTCTTCGTATAGCCCCCATATAACGGTACCTCCCGATATTCGGTATTTCGATGGTTTTAGCGACATTATTTATCGGAATTGTTTCAATTTTGGTATTTGAAGTACGTAATGGATACTACATCCTAAGACAGAAAATGAGCCATGTAGGCCCACGTCTTTCTATAGCCCCCATATAACGGTACCTCCCGATATTGGGTATTTGGTGATTTTAGAGACGTTATTTACGGGAATTATTTCAAATTTAGTATTTGAAGTTTGTAATGAATGCTACAGCCTATAACAGAAAATTGTCTGTGCAGGCCTACGTCTTTGTATAGCCCCCATATATCAGTACCTCCCTATATTCGGAATTTTGACGATTTTATGTACAATACCCATCGAAATTGTTTGAGGTGTGGTATTTGAAATTCGTAATAGATGCTACAGCCTGTGACAGAAAATTGTCTATGCAGGTGCAGGTCGTCGCACAGATATAACGATACCTCCCGCTACATTAGCTACATTATTCACTGTTTATTTCAAGTTTCGAATTTAAATATGGTAATGGCTTATGAAAAACAATGCCTATGTAGGTCCACGTCGTATAGACCCCAATGTAACGGCTATATTTGGTATTTTTAAAATTTTAACAGAATTTTTTAAGAATTTTATTTTTTGTAAATTTCCAAATTTGTTTCACTTGGTGGAGAGTATTCAAAGTTCGGACCGTCTGAACTTACTGCTTTTTAACTTGTTAAGATTAAGACATTTACAAATATGCTTCGATTTAAATGTCTTTGTCCATTCATTCGTCTGTCCTTCAAAACCTTACAGCCCCTTTTTTGATTGCGATGGTCAGCCCAGTCGACTAGATGTTACTTTAGTGCCCAAATAGCTATCCCTTTAATTTTTGTTCTTTCAAAATATCCCAAGTTTCCAAGTCAATCGAGTAGTTCAACAAATAAAATCCTTAATTGGCACTCATTAAGAACACTTTTTAAAACTTTAAATTTACAATTACATACATACATATATATATTAGACAAATTTTCAATAGAACACAAACAACTAATGCAACAGTGACTTTGTGTTGACTAGAAATTCAAACTTGTCAGTGTATTTTTTGTTACTGCTGTTATAGTTGCCGTTGTTGTTGTTGTTATTCTACTGTCGAACAATTAACTAACTAACTTCTTAAGTTCATATTTAAATTAACTATTAGCTAACTATATAAAATTAATAGTTGAAGTTAACTGTTTTTTGTTTAGTTTCTATGGAAGTTGTGTTGCCGATGATGAGGATGATTATCTGGTTGTCATTGAACTGTCTGTCGACAGAGGATGAAAGAGGAAAGTTTCTCTCTGTTTGAATTTGAAACTCAATCAAATTGTTGACTTTTGAACTGTAAAATGTTAGTAACTACAACTACATCATTATAACCTAGAACAAATCCGGTGTTAAATTTCAAGTGCATTCTGGGAAGAAAAAATGTTTATCAATTTGTTTGATTTAAAGGGAAACATATTTTGTAGTAGAGGGGAAAGGGTGTTTCTAAAGATGAGAGATGGGCTGAAAGTGAGTCTATATGATGTACTAAATGGACAATAGCGACTCTCTGAGCTGCAGACCGTCTATAGAGACTCTCTTGTTCACCAGCTCGTCTCTAGAGACTCTCTGTCTCACCAGCTCATCTGTAGAGACTCTCAGTCTCACCAGCTCATCTGTAGAGACTCTCAGTCTCACTAGCTCGTCTGTAGAGACTCACTGGCCCACCAGCTCGTCTGTAGAGACTCTCTGTCTCACCAGCTCATCTGTAGAGACTATCAGTCTCACTAGCTCGTCTGTAGAGACTCACTGGGCCACCAGCTCGTCCGTAGAGACTCACTGGGCCACCAGCTCGTCTATAGAGACTCACTGGGCCACCAGCTCGTCTATAGAGACTCACTGGGCCACCAGCTCGTCTATAGAGCCTCCCTGAGCTCCAGCTTGTCTATAGAGGCTCACTGGCCCACCAGCTCGTCTATAGAGACTCACTGGCCCACCAGCTCGTCTATAGAGACTCACTGGTCCAAAAGCTCGTTTTTAGAGACTTACTGGTCCAACAGCTCGTCTTTAGAGACTCCCTGCCCCACCAGCTCGTCTATAGAGACTCCCTGCCCCACCAGCTCGTCTATAGAGACTCACTGGGCCGCCAGCTCGTCTATAGAGACTCACTGGGCCGCCAGCTCGTCTATAGAGACTCCCCGGGTGTTAAGCTGGTCTATAGATACTCCCTGGGCTCCAGCTCGTCTATAAAGACTCCCTGGGCTTCAGCTCGTCTATAAAGACTACGTGGGCTTCAGCTCGTCTCTAGAGACTCTCTGTCTCACCAGCTCATCTGTAGAGACTCTCAGTCTCACCAGCTCATCTGTAGAGACTCTCAGTCTCACTAGCTCGTCTGTAGAGACTCACTGGCCCACCAGCTCGTCTGTAGAGACTCTCTGTCTCACCAGCTCATCTGTAGAGACTATCAGTCTCACTAGCTCGTCTGTAGAGACTCACTGGGCCACCAGCTCGTCTGTAGAGACTCACTGGGCCACCAGCTCGTCTATAGCGACTCACTGGGCCACCAGCACGTCTATAGAGCCTCCCTGAGCTCCAGCTTGTCTATAGAGGCTCACTGGCCCACCAGCTCGTCTATAGAGACTCACTGGCCCACCAGCTCGTCTATAGAGACTCACTGGTCCACAAGCTCGTTTTTAGAGACTTACTGGTCCAACAGCTCGTCTTTAGAGTCTCCCTGCCCCACCAGCTCGTCTATAGAGACTCCCTGCCCCACCAGCTCGTCTATAGAGACTCACTGGTCCAACAGCTCGTCTATAGAGACTCACTGGTCCAACAGCTCGTCTATAGAGACTCACTGGCCTAGCAGCTCGTCTATAGAGACTCACTGGCCTAGCAGCTCGTCTATAGAGACTCACTGGCCTAGCAGCTCGTCTATAGAGACTCACTGGCCTAGCAGCTCGTCTATAGAGACTCACTGGGCCACCAGCTCGTCTATAGAGACTCACTGGCACAGCAGCTCGTCTATAGAGACTCACTGGCACAGCAGCTCGTCTTTAGAGACTCACTGGGCCACCAGCTCGTCTATAGAGACTCACTGGCACAGCAGCTCGTCTATAGAGACTCACTGGCACAGCAGCTCGTCTATAGAGACTCACTGGCACAGCAGCTCGTCTATAGAGACTCACTTGCACAGCAGCTCGTCTATAGAGACTCACTGGCACAGCAGCTCGTCTATAGAGACTGACTGGCGCACCAGCTCGTCTATAGAGACTGACTGGCGCACCAGCTCGTCTATAGAGACTGACTGGCGCACCAGCTCGTCTATAGAGACTCACTGGGCCGCCAGCTCGTCTATAGAGACTCACTGGGCCGCCAGCTCGTCTATAGAGACTCCCCGGGTGTTAAGCTGGTCTATAGATACTCCCTGGGCTCCAGCTCGTCTATAAAGACTCCCTGGGCTTCAGCTCGTCTATAAAGACTACGTGGGCTTCAGCTCGTCTATAGAGACTCCCTGGGCCTTCAGCTCACCTATATAGAGACTTCCTGAGCTCCTGCTCGTCTATAGACTCCCGGAGCTCCTGCTCGCCTATAGAGACCCCCGAAGCTCCAGCTCGTCTATTGAGACTTTCGAGGCTCCAGCTCGTCTATAGAGACACCCGGGGCTTCAGCTCGTCTATGAAGACTCCCTGGGCTTCAGCTCGTCTATGAAGACTCCCTGGGCTTCAGCTCGTCTTTGAAGACTCCCTGGGCTTTAGCTCGTCTATAAAGACTCCCTGGGCTTCAGCTCGTCTATGAAGACTCCCTGGGCTTCAGCTCGTCTTTGAAGACTCCCTGGGCTTTAGCTCTTCTATGAAGACTCCCTGGGCTTCAGCTCGTCTATGAAGACTCCCTGGGCTTCAGCTCGTCTATGAAGACTCCCTGGGCTTCAGCTCGTCTATGAAGACTCCCTCTTGTGCTCCAGCTAAGTATGACTCACACACAAATTTAAAATAATGTTTAACAACCCTTTCCTTTGGCCACTTTCCCCCCACAAACTACGCCATCAACTACTTAACTTTCAGCAAACACCGACATCATCCGTCCAGTGTGTGTGTGTGTGTTTGTATTTGTTTGCATCGCCATGTACTTTTTCAGCACTTTTGCTCTTTTTTTTTGTTCGCTTTTTTGCTTTGTTTTGCCACAGCCATATTCAAACAGTCAACAATTGTGATTTGTATGGATATCATCATTTTCAATTCTAGGTATGGTGGTCACCCTGTCCCAGTCGTGAATGCCCCGAGGAACAAGAACTTAAATTGGCTGTAAGTCAATGCACGGACTACTGTTTACTGCAGGAACCAGCCGCATCATCAAACTTATTTAGCCCATCACCAGAGTATTATACACCATCAACGTCAACATCATGGCCTGAGTCGGTGCCCTCCACCGCCTCATCTACATCGCCGCCGCCCGTATCGTCATCCACGTTTGCTGCATCGACATCAACACATAAAAGTTATGTGTCAACAACTTCTAGGCCTCCACTGACGACGGAGGATGAGTTGGATGATGATTATGGTTCTTCAACGACGACAGCTAAAACAAAAACAACAACAACAACAACGCCGGCAACAGTAATGCCTCAGGACGTTGGTGGTGGTGGTGGCGGTAGTTCCACCACAAGTCGAAGTATATTCCAAGATGTACTTAATATGTCAGCGACAATGTTCCCGCCTGTAGTGACATCTTTATCCTCTATGTCTATGTTGGAACGTCAAGATTGGAATGGTAAGTAGTAGTTTTTGTTTGTATTTTTTCTTTATTCTACAACAACACCGTTGTTGTAGTTGTTGGTATATATATGTAATATATTATTGTGCTATCCCCCCTCTGAGTTCATGTTATTTACCATATAAGTCCCAAAAGAGCACAAATCGTACATTGGAACACAATGGGAATACTTAAATCGGATTCAGGCTCATAACTTATGGGCTCCTGCCCTTCTTAAGAGCTATCCACACAACAATGTATGATTGTGGGTCGTTCTGTTCCATGCTATTGCAGGGGAAACAATTTCAAGTTCATGTTGTTCGCCATGTGGGCGCTAAGGCTTAACAGTCAAAGGTGAAAACGTAAAGATTATTGCTGAGGGAATTGATTTGTCTGCATGGCATTTTAATTTGACTCATACGCCGATGTTTACTTAATGCTGTAGAAAGATACGGATTTATAGGACTGCAGGGAAATCAGGTATACATTCAAAGGCTAGATGGGAAATACTATAGGATTCGTATGAAAGAAGTAGGAGCCTTAAAAGGGATTTGTTCGAGGAGCTCTATAGATGAAAAAAGAGAAAAGGAAGTCTATTTAGAAGACGGAAGGATGAGAGTCGGTATAATCGAGGTAATGACCGCATGTAGTCCCGGCTATCTCAATAGACCAGCAGGAACGCTGGAAGTCTCTATAGTCGACCTGAAGCCCAGGGATGCGCCGATGCGCCGGAGTCTCCAAAGACTGTATGCAGACCAGGGTGCCCCTATAACTGTTCTGGTGTCCTGGGATTCTCTTTAAAGGAGTTGGAGCCCAAGAAGGCTCAATAGTCGACCTAGAAGCTAGGGAGTCTCTACAAATGGCCTGGAGCCTAGGAAGCTTATGACGGGCAGAATCTCAAGGAGTCTCCATAAAAAAGCTGGAGCACAGGGAGGTTTCTACAGATGATCTGAAGCTCAAGATGCTTTTACAAACGAGCTGAAGGCCAGGGATGTTTTATGGACAAGCTGTAGGGCAGGAAGCCTCTACAGACGTGCAGAACTATTTTAAGGCGATATAGGACACAGGAAGTTCCCGTAGGCGAGGTATAGCCCTGGACGTCTCTAAAGACAAGCAGTTGCTCAGGGAGTCTCTATGGGCGAGCTGTGGGTCAGATATTATCTTTAGACGGTTTGGTGTTCGGGGGGTCTTCACAGGTGACCTAAAAGGCCAGATTTTCTTGAAGAGCAATTTTGAGACTAGGGAGTCTCTTTAGACCATTTGGAGACAGGGTAGCCTCATTTAGCGAACTGAAGACCAGGGAGTCTTTACAGACGAGCTGGAGGGCCAGGGAGTCCCTATAGACGTCTTTACAGACGAGCTAGAGCCCAGGGAGTCCATATAGACGATCTGGAGTCCGGCGATTCTCGATAGGCAACATGGAGACTATGGGGGCCCTATGGACGACCTTGAGGCCAGGGAGACTCGTCATGTGAACTGAAGTCCAGGGAGTTCAATAGACGAGCTGAATGCCAGTGAATCTCTATAGGAGTCTCGACTGACGTGCTGAAAGCCAGGGAGTCTCGATAGGCGACCTAGAGTCTTTATGGACTACATGGAGGCCAGAGTTTATCAAATAACGAAGTAGAAGTCAGAAAGTCTCGATAGACATCACGGAGGACAAGGAGTCTTGAAGGACGACCTAAAGCCCAGGAAGTCTCAATGGACGACTTTCAGGTCATGGAGTCTCTATAAACGACCTGGTAACCATAGTGTCTTTATAGACTACATGGAGGCCAGGGTTTCTCGATAGGGGACCGGAATGCCAGGGAGTCTCAATGGCTGGCAGAGAGTCTCCATTGACGAACTGGTTGGCCAGAGAAGCTCTATTGACGAGCTGGTGGGGCAGTGAGTCTCTATCTTTAGACGAGCTGACTGGCCAGAGAGGCTCTATAGAAGAGTTGGCTAGCCAGAGAGCCTCTATAGACGAGTTGGCTGGCCAGAGAGGCTCTATAGACGAGTTGGCTGGACAGAGAGGCTCTATAGACGAGTTGGCTGGCCAGAGAGGCTCTATAGACGAGTTGGCTGGCCAAAGAGGCTCTATAGACGAGCTGGCTGGCGAGAGATGCTCGATATGGACGTGGCCCAGTAAGTCTCTATATCGACGATATGGTGGCCCAATGAGTCTCTATATCGACGATCTGGTGGCCCAGTGAGTCTTTATTGACGATCTAAAGCCCAGGGAGTCTTTATAGACGAGCCGAAGGCAGAGAGTCTCGATAGACCAACTGATCGACCAGAGAGTCTCCATAGACGAGCTGGCTGGCAGAGAGTCTACATAGAAAAGCTGGTTACTAGAGAGTCTCTATAGACGAGCTGGTTACCAGAGAGTCTCCAAAGACGAGCTGGTTACCAGAAAGTCTCCAAAGACGAGCTGGTTCCCATACAGTCTCTATAAACGAGTTGGCTGGCAGAGAGTCTCCATTTACTAGCTGGCCAGGAGAAAGTTTCCATAAACGAGCTGGTCGGCAGAAAGTCTAGACGTGTTGGTCAGCAGAAATTCTTCACATGGAGGCCATGGTGTCTTTATAGACGACACGAAGGACAGGGAGTCTTGATAGACGACAGGGAAGGCAGAGAGGCTCGATAAGCGAGTTGGGATTCCTTATTGTCGACCGTGGTCCAAGGAGCCGTGATAGTCGACATGGAAATTACTGGCCTTGATTCACAAGCTGTAGAGTATCGACAAACTAGGTGGACGGTAGAGGGTCCGATAGACTAGCTGAACTGCAAGGAATTTCGATAGAGGAGCTGGAATCTCTATTTAGATAGCTTCGGATCGTTATTGGAGACTCATTGGCCCTCATCCTTCATCTAACGCATTTCAGGATTCCGTCTACTCTATGAAGAACCTCTGACCTCCTCCTTGGGGCTTCTTTATTTGTCTGCAGCTGTTGTTGTTTTCCTTTCTTCAATGCAGGGCCGACATCTTTGCTGATCACCCATCCTTAAAACGTTGGCAATCAAAGCCTTAAATCATTGTGTACAAGGCCGTCATTATGTCAACAAATGTATATTATTTCCAACAAATATTGCCACTTGTCTTGTCTGAATAGCTGGAACAGCAGCAGCAGTTACAGCCAGCATCGGCAGGATAGGCCCTCGCTCAAGTGGATTGTCATTAAAATTGTATTGAGTATTCCCTGTAATGAATATCTCTAATGATTGCCATGAATCTATTCAAGTCGTTTTCACATGAAAAACATGATGGTACATGTTTTTTGTTTATATTTTGTTGTTGTTGTTCTTTGTTTTCATTGTTGTTGTTGTATTTGGGATAAATCAAAGCTTAAATCGTTCTCTTGTTTCAATGAGATTTCAATTAGTTAATGGAATGTTTAGAGTATTGAGTGAAACAAAGAACATGTACTTTTTGTCATGGCGGATGGATGATGATAATATCCAGATAATATTGGAATTCCAGAAAAAAATAGAGAGGGGGAGGGTGTGGCAAATATGATTTGTATCAGGTATGAGGTATGAGATTGGAAATTTAATTGAAAAAAAAAAAAAATAATTAAAATCAAATACCAAATTAAATTAAATTTCACGATTTAATGAAAATAATGACAAATATTTATTCTCCTTAAATGAATATAAGCCTAAGCAAAAATCTGTGACGAGGAATCACGATTTTACAGAAATGTAATATGAATTCCATTGTCCCCCCATTGCAAGGAATTGGAGAGCATTCAAAAAAAAAAAAAAAAAAAAAAAAAAAAACAAGTAAAAATGCTGTAATTTCGGCCGGGTCGAACTTTGAATACCCCCCACCATTCGGAACGAATTTTGGAATTCTCAAACAAAATAAAATCCGTTAAAAATTCTGATAAAATCTTAAAAATTTCGAATTTAGTTGGGTCTATACGACGACATGGACCTGCATGGGCAACTTTTGTCATAAGCCATTGCAATATTCAGATAAGAAAGTTTAAAAATAAAAATCGGTGAATAATGTAGCTAATATCAAAATCAAAATACCGAACATCGGGAGGTACCGTTGTATGGTGGCTATACGAAGACGTGGGCCTGCACAATTTTCCGTCTTTGGCTGTAGTATCCATTACGAATTTCAAATACCAAATTTGAAACAATTCCGGTGAATAAAGTTGCTAAAATCAATAAAGTCCCGAATATCGGGGGGTACCGTTGTATGGGTGCTATACGAAGACGTGAACCTGCACAGATAATTTTCTGTCATATGCTATAGTATCCGCTACGAACATCAAATACCGAATTTGAAAGAATTCCGGTCAATAATGCAGCTAAAATCAAGAAAGTACTGAATATCGGGGGTACCGTTTGTATGGGGGCTATACGAAGACGTGGACCTGCACAGACAATTTTCTGTCATAGGCCGTAGTATTCACTACGAACTTCAATTACCAAATTTGAAACTATTCCGGTTAATAATTTCGCTAAAATGATCAAAATACCGAATATCGGGAGGTACCGTTATATGGGGGCTATACGAAGACGTGGACGTACATGGCTCATTTTTTGCCTTAGGATGTGGTACCCATTACGAAATTCAAATTCCAAATTTGAAACAATTCCGGTAAATAATGTCGCTAAAATCATCGAAATACCGAATATCGGGAGGTACCGTTATATGGGGGCTATACGAAGACGTGGACCTACATGGCTCATTTTCTGTCTTAGGATGTAGTATTCATTACGAACTTCAAATACAAAATTTGAAACAATTCCGGTAAATAATGTCGCTGTAATCATCAAAATACCGAATATCGGGGGGTACTGTTATATGGGGGCTATACGAAGACGTGGACCTACATGGCTCATTTTCTGTCTTAGGATGTAGTATCCATTACGAACTTCAAATACCAAACTTGAAAAAATTCCGTTGAATAATGTCGCTAAAATCATCAAAATACTGAATATCGGGGGGTACCGTAATATGGGGGCTATACGAAGACGTGGGCCTGCACAGATAATTTTCTGTCTTAGGATGTAGTATCCATTTCGATATTCAAATACCAAATTTGAAACAATTTCGGTGAATAATGTCGCTAAAATCATCAAAATACTGAATATCGGGAGGTACCGTTATATGGGGGCTATACGAAGTCGTGGACCTGCACAGACAATTTTCTGTCATAGGTTGTAGTATCCATTACGAAATTCAAATACCATATTTGAAATAGTTTCGGTAAATAATATCTCTAAAATCATCAAAATACCGAATATCGGGAGGTACCGTTATATTGGGGCTATACGAAGACCTGGACCTGCATAGACAATTTTCTGTCATAGGATGTAGTATTCATTACGAACTTCAAATACGAAATTTTCAACAATTCCGGTAAATAATGTCGATAAAATCATCAAAATACCGAATATCGGGGGGTACCGTTATATGGGGGCTATATGAAGGTGTATACCTGCACAGACAATTTTCTGTCTTAGGCTGTAGCATCTATTTCGAACTTCAAATACCAAATTTGAAACAATTCCGATGAATATTGTCGCAAAAATCATCAAAATACCGAAAATCGGGAGGTACCGTTATATGGGGGTTATACGAAGACGTGGACCTGCACAGACGATTTTCTGTTTTTGGGTGTAGTATACATTGCCAACTTCAATACCAAATTTGAAACAATTCCGGTGAAAATATTCGCTAAAATCATCAAAATACCGAATATTGGGAGGTACCGTTATATGGGGGCTATACGAAGACGTGGACCCGCACAGACAATTTTCTGTCTTAGGCTGAAGCATCAATTTCGAACTTCAAATACCATCCATTACGAACTTCAAATACCAAAATTGAAACAATTCCGGTAAATAATGTCGCTAAAATCATCAAAACACCGAATATCGGGGGGTACCGTTACATAGGGGCTATACGAAGACGTGGACGTACATGGCTCATTTTTTGCCTTATGATGTAGTACCCATTACGAAATTCAAATTCCTAATTTGAAACAATTCCGGTAAATAATGTCGCTAATATTATCAAAATACCGAATATCGGGATGTACCGTTATATGGGGGTTATAAGAAGGCGTGGACCTGCACAGACAATTTTCTGTGTTCGGCTGTAGCATCCATTTCGAACTTCAAATACCAAATTTAAAACAATTCCGGTAAATAATGTCTCTAATGTCATCAAAATACCCGATATCGAATTGCAAGGGAGACAATTTGGAACCCAGGGGTTCTCTATAGACGAGTTAGAGCAATGGCTGTCTTTATCGACCAACTAAAGGCAAGGGATACTCTATGGATGAGCCAGGAGTCAGGCAGTCTCTATAGACCATGAGGAGGCCTAAGAATCTCGATAGACGACGTGTAGGCCATATAGTATTGATAGACGACCTGAAGCACAAGGAGTCGTTATAGACGAATCGAATGTCAAGGGAGTCTTAATAGACAAACTAAAGGCCAGAAAGTGTATATATACGCGAACTGAAGGCCAGAGTAACATTAAAGACGAGCTGAAGGCAAGAGAGTCTCTATATTCGAGATGAATACAAGGGAGTCTCTATATATGGGAGATGAAGGCCAGTAAGTCTTTATAGATGAGTTGGAGGGCCAGGGATTTTTTATAGACGAGCTGAAGGGCAAGGGTGTCTTTAGAGACGAGCTGAAGGCCAGGGAGTCTTGGTAGATGTATCGAAGCCCCAGGGAGTCGTTACAAACAGCTGAAGGCCGGGGTGTCTCTATAGACGAAACAATTCCGGTAAATAATGTCCCTTAAATCATCAAAATACCCAATATCGGGAGGTACCGTTATATGGGCGCTATACCAAAACGTAGACCTACATGGCCCATTTTCAATACTAAAAGTCCTGCACACATAATATACATTTCAGTAAAATGTTATCAATCTACTTCAATTCGTTCGGAAGCTAGTGTGATTTCTACAGACGGATAGGCGGACAGACGGACGGACATCGCTAAATCGACATAAAATTTTATGCTGATCAAGAATATATATACTTTGTGAAGTCTAAAATATATATTTCGAGGTGTTACAAACGGAATAACAAATTTAATATACCCTCCATACTATGGTGGAGGGTATAAAAATAATAATGATAATAATAATCTCCCCCAACAACATGCACTCCACTTTAGCTCCATTACAATGCCTTATTCCCCCCTCGAAGATTATCCCCATTTTACAAAAACCTTCCCCTTTGTTTGCTTATTTACCAATTATTATTGTTGTGGTCTTGTTTTTTTTCTCTCTCCTTCTATTCTCCTCCAGAATCCTCCGATACCGACACCAATTCAAGCATTCCCACCCATTTCAGTTGGGTACATGCCAATGCAACCGACTCAACATTCTTCCTGTTACTGATGCATCCCGATCTCGCTGCCCCCATCGAACAATTGGGCATGGAAATTGAACAGGACGATAACGAAACAGTTACCGACTTCAAGCAACGTTTCGGCGAGAAACGCCTCTGGGAAATGCAAATCAATGTCACCGATTTGGAGGAATTGGATTTGCGTTGCGGTGGCATTGCTCGACGCCACAACATGTCACATGTCTCGAATGAAACGGTCAATTGTATGGTGCAACGGTGTACCTTCACGCTGAATGCCCCGGAAATATGCCCACCCGATTACAAGGAAACGGATGGCACAATATTTTGGATATATTTCATGTTGAGGTAAGTTGAATGAAAAGAGCGGAAGATTATTTAAAGAACACAAGAAGTTTAATCAATGCAATATTATACGAGTAGAAGAAACTCTGCATAGTGGCTACAAAAGAAAAAAAAAATCCGGGTTTAAATTTTGAATTCACTTGCGCTCCTGAAGATAGAAAGGATTACACTGCATTTAAGATTCTAGATGTCGGCAGCTGATGGAATACTTTTCTAATGGTTGTATGTGACCTGCCAACTAACATAAGACAGCTTACAAGTCTCATACGTAAGACATGTTTGAAAAGTGACATGAGCGATGCTCATATAGCCGGTCGGGTAGACCTATTAATATAAGATTTTGTGAGGTATGTGGACAGATTAAAATGACCAAATCCGACGTTACCATTCGCAATGTCGTTGAGGAATAACATCTGTAAATTTTTGTTAGATTAAGGGATCGGGTCGAGCTTTCCAACGATTTACGTTCAGCATCAAAATCAATAAATTTACGAGCGAGGGTCTTCGAGAGATTGCCAATATAATCTTGTGAAAAATGTCTCTTAAAAAAATAAGTTAAAAATATCAGTTTATTTTGCCGACAGATGTATACCCTCAGCCAATGCTAGTTTTTTAATATATTTTGACTTCTGTTATGATTATTCAAATTGTTTATCCTCTATGGGGTAGGTTCCGAGGAAATGGGCCAATATTGTCGAAACTAAGTAAATATGATCTAAATATTGTGATGTGCCAGGTTTGGACTATATTGGTTACTTCCTTCATTTTGTTTAATATATGTGATAATTATTAGAAAATGTTAACCTCTAATACAGATAAAAATATTGGAAAGGGCAAAATTACAAGAAAACAGAACATTATATCAAATTTTATGTGAAATCATAAATTCCATATTCTTCTCAGGTTTCTAGTTAAGAAGAAGTTATAAAGAATCGCTGACTTGTTTGGAAAGTTATGACAGATAAAAATTATGACCGTTTGTGGGTGAGGTATCAGAAGGGCTCACAGATACATATCATCTACACAACAGATCTTTTGTTAACAAAAATGTTTGTGTGTGTAAAGAGAGTTTGGATGCTTATTTCGCTTTCGACCTTTTTGTTTTTCAAAATCTAAACACTATATTAGGGGGATGTACCAGAAGAAATGGTGCGATCTCTACCGTCTTTGTAAAAGATCTTAAGTTGATGGAAATATTGAGATGTGAAAAAAAGTGAATGAAATCGGATGTTAATTTCGTGTTTTATGGGCTTCATGGATACTTTTACACCAGACCTTGGTCTAATAAAAATATTGGCACTTTGTGAGGGAGGTACTTGATGGAGTGCACCGATTTTGTCCAATTTTGCATCTGACCTAGCACTGATGTAAATATAAGGATTTGCAAAGTTGGAGCAAAATTGGATTATCAGGAAAATACTTTTTTTTTTAAATGTTGACCCCTTGTGGGAGAGGCACCAGAAGGAGAGGGCCAATTTTACCCATCTCCGAAATTGATCTACGTTTGACAATAATATTACGATGTACCAAGTTTGAATCAAATTGGATATTCCCTGAGAGTTATCGTGTGCACCAGTGAGCCAGACAATGTGAAACGGGTTTGGTCTAAAGAAACCTAGGGTCTAAACCTGTTATTTCGATGAGGGATATATCAAATGATATATACCCTCTGTAGCCTTTTGGCTGAGGATATAATAAAAAAACACTCATATTTGTACCTACCCAAGATGTGGTATAAAGAACGGATGGAACGGACTACTGCTGGTGGTACCTTCCCTCCATAACCGGTCCAAATGATGACCCTATGCAACGCGAAATTAGCATCCAGCTAGATCTATTGGGGAGCTGTGATATATTGGTTCACCACATTTGATATAAAGTATATATGGGAGCTATACCAAATGCTATACAAATTTGATCAAATTGTAGATTAAATATCACGAAAGTTAGAGACTCAAACACCTAATCGGATGAAACATGTATGGAAGCTATAGCTATATCTGAAACCGATTTTCACCAAATTAGAAGTACTTGCTTCTAGGGTGAATTCGGTCGGAAATGCTCAAATCCACTCTACTTGGGCTGTTTTCAAATATCGGTGCACAAAAAAACAGGAAATTGGATAAATATATATATGGGAGCTATAAGCAAATCTGAACCGATCTTGACAAAATTTAAGGCAGTTATTTCAGAGCTGTGTCTGATATTTGGCACCAAAGATTATTGTTGTGGAGTGCATATTACGAAGATGAGGTACTTAAAACCCTAAATCGGATGAAACTTATATATGGGTGCTATAGCTTTATCTGAACCCATTTTCTCAAAATTTAAAGTATATGATTCTAGGGTGAATACAGCCGGAATTGACAAAATTCAGTTCATTCGTTCATATATATATGGGAGCTGTATCCTAATTTGATCCAATCTCGATAAAACTTGTCAAAGGTATGTTCCGGTTCCCGAAATCGGCTGAAGATAATAAGGGAGCTACATCCAAAGCTGAACCGATATTGATAACAGTTGGGTGTATCTGCTTTCTGGTACCAAATATAATTTATTAAGGAGTGCCTACTACGAATATGAGGAACTTAAACACCAAATCGGATGAAACATATACATGGGAGCTATAGCTATATCTGAACCGATTTTAACCAAATTTGATGTACATGCTTCTACACTGTATTCGGTAGTAAGTGCTAAAATTCAGGTCAGTTGGACTGATTGGACTGGTTGAAGATACATTGGGAGATATATCAACATTTGAATCGATTGTCACCAATTTCAATAGGGTTCGTCCTCGGCCAAACAAATATTGCTTGGAAAATTTCATTTCAATCGGATGATAAATGCGACCTGCATTTTGTTCACAAAAATACATGGCCTGACGGACAAATGGACAGACATGCATAAATCGACTCTGAAATGGATTCTATGTAGATCCTCAAAAGTAACTATGGGACTATCTCGCTTCCTTCTCCATGTTACAAACAAATGTACAAGGACATAATACCCTTACCACTATTTTGTGCAGGGTATAATTAAATAAGTAAAAAAGCAGCTAAGTTCAGCCACGTCGAACTTTAAGAAACTTAAAAATTTAGAAAAAGTCCGCCGAAGAATATTTCTTAGACAAAAACCGTTATATTGGGGGCTGTACGCAGACGTGGACCTGAATAAGTCTTTTTTTCATAGGCTCTAGTACCGATTCCGAATTTCAAGTACGAAATTTGAAAAAAAAAATCCGGTTAATAATGTCACTAATATCATAAAATACTTAATATTGGGAGGTACCATTATATAGGGGCTCTATACGCAATTTTTTGTCATAGGTTGTAGCATCCATCCAAATCTTCAAATACAAAAATTTGAAACAATTCCGGTAAATTATGTCGCTAAAATTACAATATATGTATACAATCTTTAATGTCTTTAGAATAATTAAAAAAATAAATATTGGGTGGTATCGTTACAGGGGGGTGCTATAAGAAAATTTAGGGCGACATGGATCACTTATGAACTTAACCTGCCTACAGACAAAATACACACGCGTAAATACACACAAATGTTAGCTTTCTATATCAATTCGTTCCAAAGATATCGTGAATACAAGAAAAATGCGGACAGACATCGCTAAATCGACTTGGAATTTTACTCTGAACCAGAATAGAAGAGTGTTGGCTTGTTTGTTCGGGATAACATAGTAAATTGTAAAATTGCAAAATGGTCAGGCTTAATTCCATTATTGTTATTTTTATAAAAGCAACGTTTGTTTATTATTGGAGAACAATGGTAATGTTTACCAAGGGTTAAGGCAGCGAATGCCTAGGTTTTGGAAAGAGCCACCAATCCTCATCAATTCCCTTGTTTTTTGTCTAGGATATTCTTCCCAGAAGTTATTTTAAAAATAACGTCTATGGCAAAAAACAGTTTTTACCCACGTCACGATCTCAATATAATTCTCCACTAATATAAAAATAACAACGATGGGATTAAGCCTGATCCAGAATATATATACCTTGTAGGGCATAACATGAGTATTTCGAGAAGTTACAAACGGAATGCCAAAGTAAATACACCCTCATTGAATGGTGGAGGGTATAAAAATAGTGAGTTTGGCAAGATCGAACTTTTGATGCCGCCTACCATGATATATACAAAGTCAAAATTAGGTCCTAACAACAATTTTTTGAAAGACAGTAAGGCAGATACCCAATATAAATCTCACGAACAAAATTTCGGAAAATTCCGTTGAAAAAAATTGAGGAATGTCATAAGGCACCGAATATAGAGTGGAGCTGTTATATGGGAAATATACCACAAGGTGGGCCTATATTATCCGTTTTTGTAATGTGGTTAGAAACCCGTATCAACCTTCAATATTAAATTCCAGACAGTTCCCTTGAAAAATGCGCCGAAAGTCATCGAAATGCTTAAAATAAGGGGGTGTCGTTGTATTCGGTATATATCACAATGTGGACTTATATTAAATGTTTTTCTGCAAGGGGGTTAGGAACTAATAATGACCTTCAAACACCAAATTTTAAACAATTCCATTAAAAATATGCAGACAATGTCAGAATGCCTTAAATTATATCGTCATATGGGGCTATACAAAAAAGTTGGGCGATATGGTCCATCTTCGAACTTGATTTAAGATCAGACCCAAAACTCATGTTTAGACCATTTATTTCATGTTATTACTTTACGGTTTCGTATCTATACATCAGAACCAGAAAAAAACTGTAGGAAATCAGCTTTTGACAATTTCGACCACGAAGATGTCGTTTTGTTAAAAATCAAAATTGGAAAAGATTTTAAAGAACCCAAAATTGTTCATTAAAACGCTACGGTCCCATTTTTTGTTGGGCCACATAAAATTGGTGAGGTAGAAAAGTGGTCTGTTTTTTAATTATGCTGCCAAGGCAGGGTATGGTTAATAATTTTCGTGTTGCATAGTGTTATTTAGCCAACCGTATTGGTTATAATTTCACTTCTCTCATGAG